AAGATCTGCAGCTAAGCACGTTATCGCCTTCCAAGCCATCACTGACTCTACACTGAGCCTGCCAAAAAGTGTGCTATTTTTTTTATTATTGCTATTTGTTATGCACTTTGCATGGGTAGAGAGAGAGGATTTAGACTACTTAGGCAATTCACACAGCATGATTTATAACAAGTTGTGTGTGTATCTTGGTTTTATCTCTACAACTTTATTTATGCACACTTCCACTAGCCTGGAGCAGTTATAAAATATTTGTATGTGCTCACACGTAAATAATCAGAGGACAGTTTAGTTTGTTCATTGTTTTTAAATTCTTAGAGTAACTTTTAAGATGCTATTGTGTGAAAATACTACTGGAAACTGGACAGCTTTAGGAAACAGGATGCCTGTATATTTTCCAGGGTAGAGAACCAGCTGTTAGACAATAGAGGGTTTATAAAATTGTAAGAGATTAAATGTCATAATGAGTAGTTATTCTAACAATTTTGACAGCATTTATTTTTTTCTCACAAAGTTAGTCCCTCTCAGCAAATTTCTACACACATGCTGACCTTTACACTTTGGCTGAGTCCATGGGAGCTGCTGAGAGGTCACACGTGTGTGGAAAAGGATCTGCACCTTGGCAATGCATTCACACTATGCATTCACACTATGAATTCACCTTGGCAATGCATTCACAATGCAGCGCTATGTGGTGGGTGGATTAGCAAAACACTAAAACAGACTGTCAGCCACATCCTCAAAAGTCACAGTTTCAAATACTGCATTCTCATTTACTAAAGAACCCCATTTTATTTTAATATATTAAGTGTAGTTTTATTCTTACCTCAGGTCATGAATCTCTAAGGATGTCAGAAAACACACTTCTGACATTTTAAGGAAGTTTCCTCACAGTGAGCTTGTGTCAGTCATTGTCTCCTGACACAGACTATATTGTGCCCCTCTCTAGTCTGCCACAAATGATGTACATAAAGGAAAGGAAGACGAAATACTATTAACTCTTCAAAAATCTATCAGAAAAACATGAAAAACCTAAGAGGCATCAGTCCTTCTCAGGACCATGGAAGCTCCTCACAAAACCCCAAGCTGTGCGGTTTTTCTGCTGGCAGAGCGTAAGCAAATGGCAGGTGGTCAGGGCTGGGTATGGTATCAGGCCCTGGCAAGCTGGGCAGGCAGTGCTGGTGAAAGGAGATGCTGGCCCTTTCAGCAATAATACAGCTCATGCATGTCCTGCTCTGTGTTGTCAAATGCAGCTCCTGATATTGAAGGACCAAGTAGAACTACCTTAAATGGAATAAAAGAGTAACAGCAGTACCAGCGGGGCCAGGTGCATGCAATGGGCTGTGGAAATTAAATGTTCATTTCTTAGGTGCTTCTTTTGACTCTTGAGGAGATGGAGAACACCTCGCCCACAGTCTGAACACTATGGTTAATGAATCTTTAGAATTTCATACAACTTTGCTGTTTCTTCTGTATGTTTCCATGACAGTGATGCAATAATTTACCTCAGAATAAAAGCAAATCTGCAGTAACAAGGGGCAGCACTTTTTACACAAGGATGCTTAAAGTATGTGTTGGTGAAAGCACATTCATTTTTGTTCTGAAAGAGCCATTTTAGAATTACATGTAGTTCCACTCTACAAAAATGATAGTTATTCTTCAGAGTCCAGCAGATAACCTCCAGACAACAAAAGACTGAAACAGTAATAACAGCATTGTTTCCTCAGTTAATCTCTAAGTATTTCTCTAAGACGTCCAGTATAATTATCCTACTTTCTAGCCCAAGACACAAAAATGAAGTGAGTTGCTCATGGTGTCCCAGTAGGAAAATATATGTGTCACTGGTGGAAATGTGGATGGCACTCAACAGAGTCTTGTTTCTTATGCTAAGGAAATGAAGGAACTTCCTTAAATCTTCTTGTATAGTCATTTTCCATTCTTTTTCCTGGACACTTCTGTGCAACAAAAGTCCTATTTTGCTAATGTGTATTGTTTTTTAGTTTTAGATAGAGAACAGATTCTTAGAGGGGTCATTGCTCAATAGCAATAATAAAATAGAAAAAAACAGGTCATATGATTCACTCTAATGCTAAATGCTAATACATGTTAATGTTAAACATAGCAAGCAGTAGAGCTTTTTGGAAGGAAAGGTTCTCCACCGTTGGTCCACAGAATTCTTTAGGATTGAGTCACTGGATCTAATTACCTTGAATGAATTTCAGTATAATATATACTTCCACCTCACACTCTATGCGTTTCAGTTAATGAACCATTCCCAGGTTTGGGTGAAAGATAACAGTCTTAATGGATAACAATAAAAATATACATTGAGGAAAAAGTAAGGAAAATCTGATCATGAGGCACCACAACAAATTACAGATAATTTTTCAGACTGGAGGAGTAGCAGCTTATTCCAAAGGTTGCAACATGTTTAGTTTTTGCTATCTCTTTTTCATCAGAAGATGAAACAGATCATGTCTGCTGTGTGGGTACATCCATTAAATGGTTGAGAATGTCTACCTCATCTGAAACATACTGAAGTCAATAGACACCTTTTCAACTGACTTCAGTAATGAACTTTGTCAAACAATCAATTCTGCCCTGGCAGTTCCTGCTGTCTTGATTCATTTAAAAACATTATAGAAGTTTGTCAAAGTAACATTAGGAAAACAATCTTTTGCACTGCAAAACCAAAACGTATTCATTACTTTTTGCTTCCAACATGAGTTTTGAAAGTATCTAGATGTATTTTTTAAGACAATCACCAGCGATTATCAGCATCTATTTTAACAACATTCTAGAAGAAGAAACAAAATCCTTACCCCAAAACTTTGGTGGCCATGTGATTGGAGAGTAAGTACTGTTTCTATCCATAACATCCAAATAACAAATACAGAATGGTATGTCCACAGAGGAGCAATGGGTTTCTGAACGTTTGAGATTTAGCGGTAGAAGCAATGCTTTTGTGCTGCCAGGGAACTGTGTTGTTTGCCTAAAAGGAAATGGATGTATCACGTTTCCTGCTTGTGGACTTGAATTAGCAAGTGCTTGCCTTATCTTGGAACACCACATGGTTCCCGAGATGGGGGAAGAGTTTCCTTCTCGTCATTTCCTCAGCCAGAGCAAATTGACTCAGAACAATACCAAATCTCCTCCTTCTCTGAAACTTTTTGAACCCCAAATTGTCCAGACATAGAGAGATGAAAATTCCTTTCTATTTCCTTTAATGATTTTCTGTGTTGAAGACCTTCCTTAAACATTCAAAAACACTTGTATTCAATGGGAATTTTCAGTAAGGAAGAAATGTGTTAAGAGGCTTTTAATAAACACCATATCATTAGTATATTAATTTAGGTTATGAGGATTGTTAAGTGTTTGCCATTGTTCCTCAGATAGTTTGAGGAACTGGCTGTGCCTGACAGTGTAACTGTAGGCATTAATATTTTAATGAGTGTACTTCAAATTTCCTTTGCCGATTCTTTTCCTTTCCACACCCCATTCTAAAATATGAGTTCCCTGGAACACAAACAGGTTTTGAGCTAATTATCTGGACAGTTTTAATAGAATTCAGTGTTAATTCCCTGTTGGAAATCGTAGGCACTGCTGCTAAATATAGCAAATAGGAATAATAACACCCCTACAACAGAAAATAGCCAAGATATTTTATAACACAGACCCAGAATTAATGGCAAATGTATGGGAATCAATAAAATATATTCTTTTGTATCTATGTGATAAATTCTGTGGGCCCTGTATTTAACTATTTTCTTCTTAAATGTATTACAGATAATGGATGTCCATGAACATTGTGCTGTGATTGTCAAACCCATGTTCTCTGAAGAGTTGTATGAGGTTTTGTTTTCCCCATTGTTAAAAAAACAAACAAACAAGCAAACAAACAAAAAAAACCGGGATCAGATACTTCTATTTTTCACAATGAACATCGGGAATCTCCAAAATTTTTGAATACTTCAATCTTAAGATTTGGATCTGACACAGTTTTAATGTTGAATCTTTTTTTGTTTTGTTTGGGACTTTTTTTAATGAAACAGATTTTTAAAAACACTGAGTCAATGGTTAATTGAAGACTTACAGCTTTCGAAAGCTCGTGCTTAAAGTGACATATCCAAATACTAAGTTAAGCACCTGAATTAAAAAGATCTGATTTTCAGATGTCAGTGAACAAGACACAACTTGATGAGAAATGCTGGGATTATTTGCTGGTCAGGACACAGATACCAGGGCAGATGATAAAAATATACAAATTAAAGAATTCTATGACTAGGGTTAGTTTTGTGCTCTAAGAGTAGATAGAAATAAAAAAACCCTGAACTATTGTAAACTATAAAATAAGAAAAACTTAGTGATTTTAGTGTATCGAATACATCCATTGAAATGATCATAAAACAAAACTAAACACTGGCCTTAATCTAGTAAAAAAGTGGCCGAGTTCAGACATGGGTGCATGTACAGATAATTAAATCTTCCATATTGTCAAGTGTATGAAATTTGAACCTTAATGCTTTGTGAGAAAGGTAACAGCAATGAGAAGAAGTATGACAGTTTTTCTCTGGACAGTGTATTCCAAGATGTGAGTTCTCTCATTTTCCTCAGAAACAAACAACTGATACGGGCAACTGTCAGCAGCAGAAGAACAGAGAAGATGGACCACCAGAAGTGTCACCTGGGCCATACACCTGTAATGCTTATCAGCAAGTTGCAGCAAATTAAGTTTTAAGTGAATTAAGGTGATGTGGTTTTACAATGACTTGCTAAGCAGGAAGCTCTCTCTGATCAGTTTCAAACTCTCCTTCCACTATTAACTCTTGCAAGAAAAAGAAAGAATTGCAAGTTTGTGCAACAGAACTTATTTAAAATAGGTACCAAATGTATCAAATCTTAAGATGTCATAATTAAAATGTAATCTTCACCAAAAAAATAAAGCAAATTGATACATCATAAACCTTGTCTCAAGTTATTATTTCAAATATTAGACTAATTTTGTTTCTGTTCATTTTATTTCTGAGTATTGCAAGAATTTATTTTCTTGGTAACCCCATTAGTTCTTTAATTTTTCTCTGGTGAGAAGTATCTTTTCCTTAAAACAGAATCATCATAACTCAAGGTATCCTCATGGATAAAAATGCTCATCACCATTCATTTTACTGGCAAGTATAATACACTGTCACTTCTGACTGATGGGAGACAGAGGTATGTAGAGGACAAGCTGTCAAACACATTGCTGGGGTGAGCTGTCAAATGCACTGTCAACATAAGTGAGTTCAATTCCAATGAAATGAGCAGTCTTTTACTCCTTGAAAAGAGGAAATGAATTCTATCCTTAAAGTTTTTGGATATACTGATTAAATGAAGGGAGGTGCTTTGAATTTACAACAGCACAAGCCCTTACCACTGAAGAAAGAGAAGAACTTTCAGGGGAAATAAATTCAATGGGTATAATAAAATATTAGAAAAAATCATGGGCAACCAAACTGTAGGTACACAAGGTAGCACCAGCATGTGAAGAGTCATCTGCTTCCTTGGCCATATGCAGCTGTGGGGGGAGGACTGAGCATCATTGCCAGCCTCCTCTGGGGTCAGCAGTTTCTTTCTCTGAGGCACTGGTGCTTTCCCCATTGGTATATTATGATTCGTCTCTTTTTCTTTGCCCTCCAGTGAACCCCTGATCAGCTAGATGTTTTCTATTTAACAAAGCACTCACCATGGAGAGTTACTATACTGGTTGCATAGAGATTAAAATGGTTGAAACCTTTTTTTTCAGCTGGTCAGTGCTCATGGAGATGGTGTTTCAGGATGATCTGTTAGCCCTACAGATTGTACCCACATCTTCACTACTGTCAATCAGTGACAGAGAGAAGTGTCACACCATGTCACTAGAAGTAAAAAACGAATGCTGTGTCAGAATTTTAAAGCAACTTGCTGAAAATGACTTTTCAGTTTTTCAGTTGCTTACTGTTACTGGAATTTCTTGAGGAAACATAGGTATAGATGATGAATTTTCCTCTGTAAACCCACAAAATCTTTTTATTTCAAATGTAAGCAGAGTTCACTGAAACAAAAAGAATGAAAAAGAGTAGAATAAGTATCCAGCGAAATATTTTCTTTTTTTTTTTTTTTCTTTTTTTTTTTTTATACTTTCCATCTGGAGATTTTGATTTAGGCTGGGATTTCCTTTAATTGTTTCATATTGAAGCAGACTCATATTTGTCCCTGGTTAGTTTTACAGCTCTCCGGATGCATGAAGGAAAACTCAGGAATTTTTGTTCTTTGACCAGAGATGAAAAATTTTCCTGTCTCCCATCAAACCACCCATTTTAAAGGCTGCTCATAATGTGACAAAAGAGAGAAACTACAGCCTGAATTTACTGCCTATAATGACTCAGTTCAATCCTCTTCGGGATCAAACAGCAGACTTCTTCAGTTTGCCTGAATAGTTAAATAATCTACTTCCAAGCGATGGCTCTGTCAGAATACACCTTTTGATATGATACGCCTGCTATGAACGAAATGAAATAGGGCTGCAGTAACATTGCAATATCAGAAAATACCTTGATATCCAGGAGTGTATTAGATGTTGCTAATTTTTCTCCAGATTTTTTTCAGAAAAAAAGAATGATGAGTACAAAATGCATGAGAATTTCAGACATTCAGTATTTTTGGGAGGTACGAAATCCTAAGGACATAACATACAAAGAAAGTCCCTCATTGCTAATTATGTTCCATTACATGACTGGGAAGATGATGTCACAGTGCAGAACATGAATACACTTTACTGGAACATGTAATTTTTAGATCCAATATTCAACTCAAAACTCTGAAACCATATTTCTCCCCTGACCTGGAAGTCTTATATAGTCTAGTGAAAGGTGACTGAGAGACATAAAAAGAGGTAGAGGAGACCTCTCCCCTTCTGCCAGCCAGACACTTTCAGATCACTGATTTTTTCATTATATTTGTGGTAGAGAAGGCTGTGTTTGCATATTTTTACATCTGTGGGAAAGTAAGGGGGAGGGAATTAAAATAGAATACACAGCAATATATATATTATGTTAATGCATTTAAGCACTGGTTAAATTTAAGGCCAGAGAGATAAAAAAATTGTTTGAGACAGCTTTATATAACCTAGATACTTAATGTTAAAAGGGGCAGTGGGTCCTGTTGGAAGCAATAGTGCTAAGCTGTGTGGGCAAAAGCCAGCTTTAGCATCTCTGCTGTATTCCCACAGCCAAGTGACAGTTAAGGAGTGGGGTGCTGAGAGCTGGCATTATGGGGCTTGTGTGGGTCCAGCCGTGCACCTGGGTAATGGGGGTTGCCCTTGGGGACACAAGGAGGTGAAAGAGGGAGGGGGCAAAGATGAGTTCTTTGGCCTAGGAGAAGGTCAGGAACTTCCTCTCTCACTGTTTCATACCCGACAGTTTGCACAATATTTTGTGGTGGCCCACGCAGAGCTAGCAGTTTGGACTCTTAACTTGAAAACCCCAAAATCAAACCTTCATTTTATCAGGAGACTAAATTGTGAGTAACCATCCCTGAAAAGAAGAAAACAAAGTACTGTCATTGTCTGAGGTTTCTTTACTCACGGGGAATTAATTAGGTAACACAGAGGCATAAACTCATCTAGCTTCAACCTTCAAATTGAAGCTTGATGAATCACATGATTGCTCATAGGGGCGGAGAACTGGAGTCAGCAAACCAAACGTCTCCCTCTTGGTTCTCTGTTCCCCCACAAATGTACCCTGTGAAACACTTCCCTTGGTCCCACCCATATGCTTTCCAAAGGATGGAAAACCTTTATCCAATGTTCAAATTTGCCAGTTTTGCACAGATTTACAATCTAAGAAAGAGATTTGCCATTATGTCTTCAGAGTACAGCATCTCCTTGTCTCCAGCTGTAATGTTAAAGGTAAAAGAACAGGGCAATAGACCTCA